TTTTAGTACACTAAAGTAATTCCCTATTTAAAGGAATAGTATTTGAATCAGCTTGTAACCTGAGTTTCTCAGAGGTAAAATAAGTGTTTTCAACACCCTAACTCACATGCTTCCTACTGAAATTCATTTCTCCATTTTTCGCCTGTCCAACAAAACTACTGTCTACATGAATGTGAGGTTCACCAGTTTACAATCTCTCTGAACATACCTTGACATTTTTGATCTTTGTATTTCCTATTGGAGTAGATTTTAATCAGAGGCACAAGTCAGAATTTTCTTGAAAGTTCTTAAGAAAAATATAGACCCTGACTCCACACCAGACCTACTGAATCAAGTGAGGAGAACAGAGTATACATTTTGAAAAGGTGATTCAGAGGAGCTTAGCTTTGGTCAGCTAAAGAGTTCTCATCTAGCAGTGCTAACAGGGGTACTTGAGAAACAATTAGTGAAATGAATTTTTCTACAATCTCCTAAAACTCTCCATATTTTTGAGGCCCAATTCAAGACTTCTGTCTGTTCAATATCCCTCATTCTTCTTGTCTATGCCTATCTCTATCCCTCATTCCTGTCTGTGCATATCTCTGCTCCTCCACTGGGTTATTATTGTTCAAAAGGATAATCCTCTGTTTTAGCCCACCATCTGTTTATCCTGTGAATTACTTAAGTATAGGGGCTATCTTGCATTCCTTTTTTGTTGTTAATCCTCACCGGTTGATGGGTTTACTGATTTTAGAAAGAGAGGAGGGGGGGAGTGTGTGTGTGTGTGTGTGTGTGCTTGTGTGTGTGTGTGTATGTGAGAGAGAGAGAGAGAGAGAGAGAGAGAGAGAGATACTGATGTGAGAGAGAAACAATGATTGGGTGCCTCCCATGTGCCCCAACTGGGGATGGAACCGCAACCTTTTAGGTTTACAGGATGACACCCAAACCAACTGAGCCAACTAGCCAGGGCTATTTTGTGGGTTTTTTTTAACTTCCTCCACCATTCCAAGTCCTCTATATCACATATTTTATTTCTTTTTTAGCATTTCTTACTATTGAAAATTATTTTATGTGTTGTTCCTTGCTTATTATGTTTCCTCTTAATAGAATGAAAGACTTTTAAGTATTTTTCAAAGTCCTATCCCCGATTCCTAGAAGAGTATCTAGTTCTCCAAATGTACTTGATGAATAAATGAACTAGAGGATTCATTTTTTGTGTGTATAAATGTACTTATTATATATATTACATTTTCTTAGTTTCCATCCTATCAAATCATCCACTGTCTTCAGACCCATCTGTTAGTCCTTACTCTGCAAAAGCCATTATGTTAAGGCTATAAAGGGCAAATAATTTTACGTTACTAGTATGTCAAGGTACCCAACAATCAAGTTCATCAAGGCCTCTTTTTGAAGGAACTATAAATCATATATTCTTTAGCATGGAGAAATTCCAAGGTGAAAAAGTAGAAATATAGATGTAGAAAAGTAGAAATTTAGCTCTAAATGGAGCTAAAGCATTTGCTAATATAGGAAATATTACATACATACTAGAAAATATCTTAATTTTAGTTTTTGGGGTTGTGTATTGACTAATAAAAGTGACCATGGTGTAATTAATTCTTAATCAGACCCTGGCATTGTCCATAAAAAACTCACAATCGATTATATGGACAAACCCATCATTATACTTTGGTTCTATAGAACACCTTCTAGAATAGTCAAAATGAGTTTGTTTCCACTCTATGTACAAAATATTATCTGGATCCATATACTAGGCACCAAAATGAATGGTTGGCTAGAAACATTTGCCTTTAGAGTTGCCCTTAACTTCATACTAGGTCCGAGGGAACCATTAATTTACCAGGATAAAGAAGAGTTGTTTTTCTATTTGAATTTATTGAAATTGTTCTTCTTTGTCTCAGCTTAATATGCAGAATGCAAAGAATCCCATACTTACATGGGATTGGTTTTCTTCTCATGCATATTTTGCAGAATGTTATGAGTCATCAAGCGGTAATGCCATTGTGATTCAATTACGATGCTCCATGTTACTCCATGATGCACCATAAAATGTTCAAAATGGCTAGTCTTAGTGTGAAGTAGGTACACAGTTCATGGCTTGAAAATACTGAAGAGGATTACTTCACTTGCTCTGTGAGTAGCTCCATTTATAAATTACTTAATTCTTTAATGTGATTAATATATCTATCATAATGTCCTGATTAGTAATAATAGTTACCATTTCTTGAGCACTCACCAAATGCTTGTTTAGGTATCTTTTGATCATCTTAGAAACAGACAGGTATCTTTATTCTTATTTTCAGATGAGGAATCTGAGTCTTTCAAATATAAAGTAACTTAGCACATGGTAGAATTTATATATGAAAATCCAATTGGTTTGAATATAAAGTTCATATTCAGCATGAGCCAATGTGACCCTATGACGCTATGCTATATTCCACACAAACACAAATTATCACCCTCTAAACTTCCAATCAGAAAAAGACAAAGCAATTTGCAATCTAAAGAGCCACTTTGACCTCAAAGTAAAACATTTCCATGACGGATATTCACTTTTACCTCCATAAGAAGAAAGCATCAGAAAAGGGAAGAACAGGATTAAAACAAAATGAAAATCTATGATAGCAGAAAGTGCAAAACTGCCTGAACTCACAGCCTGAACTCTAAACAAAATTTCCACCATCTTTTGAAATCAGTCAATCACAATGGCGTCATGTGCCAAAAATGATGACAATGCAGGCCCCTGCTTTACCCTCTGGAGACTAAGATGGGCAGACTAGGCAGGGGCCTAGAGAAAGATGGGCAGTGCCATCTTCCTAGACTTACTGGTCATTCTTGGTTACATCTTGTCATCAGGTATCTTTTCCATTTAAATTTTCTGCTGGGAAGACCATTGAGTGGCCTCTCCATTTTTCTATAGAGCTTTCCATGATACATATGGGTAAAACTGCACTGCACCCTTGTTTTCCTTTGCACACCGAATCCTCATCATCTCATGTAATGGGATGAGTTCTATATCCATCCCCCACCACACTGAACTCCTAGACAGCAGGGAGCAGGTCATCATTCAATCTCCCTCTTTACTGATCCCCCATCCCCTGCTTTAAGAAAAGAAAGTAGATTTCACAAAACATGCTCTCGACAAATGTTAAATAGGAGAGTAGGCATGAGTTATGACTGTTTATTTCATCCTACTAAATGTATGGTATTATTTAGCCTACTCAGTATGCTATGCCATTAAAAAAGTAGCTTTTAAAAAGTTTCTCAGAATTAGGACTCATACACTGTGACCCACATTGCTATAAAGGCTGCTTTACTGGAACCACCAGGGAAGACATGTATCTGCAGGACAAGGAAACACTTAGAAGAGTGTTTTCTTCTCCCTCAAGTCAAGAAAATCCAGTTCTGGGGTTTGTTCTATATCAAGGTTAGTCAAATCAAGCAGTTCTCTCCTTTTCATTTTATCTGCTTCTCCTGATTTAATGCCCTACTAGGTTCTAAATGGGCCTTTAAAGCTGGCTCTTTTATCTTGGGTTTTGAAAGGCACAGTCTTACTCTGGAACATGTGACTCAGTGGCTGGAACGTCACCTGGTAACCAAAAGGTTGAGGGTTCGATTCCCAGTGAGGGCACATACCTAGGTTGCCCATTCATCCCTGGTTGGGCACCATGGTGTGACCCCTGTCCTGGTCTGGGTGCATCAACCAAATGATGTTTCTCTTTCCCTTCCCCTCTCTTTTTCTAAAAAAGAAAAAAAAAAAAAAAGAATGTCCTCGGGTGAGGAGGAAACGAAAAATGAAAGGCACAGTCTTGGGCATCACCCCTCATCCAAATGACAACATGCTACCAGTAGAGATTATTCCTTTATGCTATGTATTGTTCTTTCCAGAAACTCACTTTTCAAAGTTCAGTTTCGTTTAAAGGATTTTAACTCATCAGAGTAGAAAGAGGCTTCACAGTCAAATGACCTTGTATTTAAATCTATCTGGCTTCTGCCTTGACGGGCTGTGTAATGTCCTCCTTGCTTTATAAAGTTGCCAGTTGTCCTCCTTGTAAAAATAGTGAAGATGCTACTTACCCATTAAGGTTATTGAGGGGATGGTTTAATATTTTAAGTGTATAGATTGGTGATAATAAATGGTTAATAAGTATTAATTTTGATGAGCGTCCTGGGCCACCTAAAGCAATGAGGAGGGAGGTGGTTTGAATCTCTGTCTTATAGCAGCGAGTGGGAAAGGGCCCTTGGTTGAGATATAAGCACATCAATCATATGTAAAGCAGCTCCTCCTGAGGAGGTGCGTGCCCTCTGGTCATTTAATGAATTTCATTTATCCTTGTTAAATATATTGGTTTATGACTAAATCACTCTTGGTCTTACACAGTTCTTTTACATCTTATTATGGAACTGTTCCAATTAATCCCCATCTGTTGCATATTAAATGCAACCATACCGAGGTTTTTCAGAGAATTTGAAAAATTGGGACATTTTGTCAGATTCTAGGTCCCCAGAAAACTCCACTCCCACTCTCAAATATAAATCTAGTGTTTTTTCGGATTGCGGGTAGGGATTTAATTTCCTTCCTTCCCCCGCCAACCCCCCACCCCCCCAGCGGCTCTCGCTCTCTACGCTCGAGGTAGGCGGGTAACCCCCCCGTCCGTGTGTGGTTTGGGGGTAGCAACCTCTTGTAGGGCGGCGGCTGCCTCCACCCACAGCGGCGGCTGTGACGTCACGGTGCTGCCTCGGTCCCCACCCGCTCTATAAAACGGCAGGTGAGCGCCGCGCCTCGAGTTTGTTCGCACACCTTGTGCCCGCGCGCGAGCCGGCACCAAGAGAACCCGAGGCGAGTTCCAGGCGCTGCAAGCAGCGCCCGAGCCCGGCTCGGCCGGCGAGCACAGCGCTCACTCCCTCTTGTCCACCTCGTCGTCCACGGTCTCCCGTTCGGCCCGCAGCTTCCATCCCGGTTGCCCCAGAGACCAAGACGCCGCCGCGCCGAGGGACCAATGGGAGCCCCGCTGCTGCCGCCGGCGCCCGTGGTGCTGTGGCTCTTGATCCTTGGCTCAGGTGAGAACATCCCGGCTGAGAGCTGCTGGCTCTTCCCCCACCTCTGGCAAAAGCCGTCGCCCAGAGATTTGCGGCAGCTTCTACAAACAAACAAACAAACAAACAAACAAACAAAAACCTTCACCTTCGCGGTCCTCAACTCTGTTCCAAGGGAGGTGCTCGCGGTAGCTCCCTTCCTGGGGTTCTCGGGTTAGTCCCTGGGAGGAGAAAAGTGGGCAGGTGTCCCAGACGTTCCGGGCCAGGAAGACGGTGCCGCCGGAGAACCTCGTACTTTAGTTCATCTGGAGGAGACCTTAGAGATCCTGTGATCCAAACTCTTCGCTTTACAGATAGAGAAACCAAGGTCCAGAGAGGTGAAGTGATTTCCGCAGATCTTAGAGTCGTTAAGTCCTGGACCCAGGAGTGTTGCCTCCTGCCTAAATGCTGCCTAGTGATTTTGTCGTTACCTTCCTAGAGGACCTCGCGTCGTCCCAGGTTGAAGTGTAAAAGCATCACCGTTTTACTGAGAACTAAAGGATGAAGCAGGGGCTTGATACTCCGGGCCCCAAATCGTACCGGCTCCCAGCTTTTCTTCAATTAAGAGCAATAATAATGAAACAATAACAATAAGAAACATTATCAACTATTGTTTATATTACTTTTTATATTTTATGTACATAGTCTTTGTAAAATAAGAGCACGTGCTAAGGATATCTGGTATTTATATCTAGAACTTGCATTCTATGGGTCTAGATATAATGGGACTGGTGGCATTCTAGCAGCACACGCATTTGGTTGAAGAGACGGGAATATTTAGAGAACACCTATTAAGTAATTATGTACATTAATTTGCCTATTTGGCAGTATTTTTTAATGTGGAAATTAATGTAGACTGTCTGGGGAAGAGAAAACTTGATGAAAGAAGCTCTGTAATTGGAACAGCTGAGTTTGCTTGTTGGCAAACCGTGAGGCTGCTTTCATAAGTGACTGAGTCACAATAGCACATGTGCAATAACTGCTTTGATATCAGAAGATAAACATTTGTCCTGAATACAGCTGACTGGTGAGAAAGACACTCTGCTTTACTTTTCCTTCCCCTGTCCTTTCTCACATAGCTCATTATGTTGCCGGATCAGATGGTAATGACACCTACTCTGGGAAGGGGGAACCACTGTCTGGGGACCACAGTGCTGATGGATTTGAGGTGACCTCAAGAAGTGAGATGTCCTCAGGAAGGGAGATTTCTCCTGCGAGTGAGATGCCTTCTGGTAGCGAACTGTCTTCAGGGATTGACTATGACTACGCAGAAGAATATGATTTTGAGTCACAAATATCTGGCTATATCATAGATGATTCAGTCAGAGGTGAGTAGAGGATAAGGCAAAAATGTCGATTACATGATCTGTGTTTGTATGAGCAAAATGAATTCAAGAGAAAACCTGCTCCTGGACCTTCCCGTGGCTTTCTGGTATGTGTGTCTGTTGTATATACTGCTAACAGGTAAACTACAAAGTGAGATAGAAAGAGCTATATGTGGGCACATCCTATGTGTCTGGATCTCGGATGAACGTTTCATGTCTGTTAAGTCTGATTTCCACAACAGCTCTATGAAATAGGAAATACCATTTTACAGATGTGATCATTGAAGCTTGAAAATGTTCAGTGTCCTGCCCAAGGTTCCACAGCCAACAAGCAGATGAGCCAGAATGAGAACTCCAATCCGTCTGATTCCATATACTGTGCTCTTTCCCACTGTGCCTCATGCTTTGCATTATCAGAGAAAGCCGTAGACACCAGCCAGTCCTATCTACTCTGTATCTCAGCTTCTGCACCCACTCCCACCACCACTCTCCCTAAATAACTGCATTCTAATACAAGTAAGGGAACAGGAAGGAATGGGAAGGAGCAACTGGACTTTAGCCTAAGTATTAGGTGTCGAGAAACTGGTAATAATAATAATATCTTCTGGAAATAGTAAAGAATAGATGTGCATGGATTTTATATTGCTAAAATCACAACTTAACTCCAAATACCATTTGTCAGCTCAGTAATAGTGACTCATGGTTTTCTTGTCTTTTGCTGTTACCGATTTTTAAAAAAGAACATTTGCTTAAAATGAGACCAGACGAGGTCATTGGTAAATCAGATCTCAGTATCCTAGTATCATTAGCTATGGAGGCAGGACATAAGGCCTCTTCTCTCCTGATCTTAGTTTCCTTGACTTCTCTCCCTGTGTCACCAGTTCTGGAAGGCAGGTGATACCATAAGGACAGTGACTGGTTTAAGTGACAGGGGGCAAAAGCTTTAGTGAGCACTCCACTTCTCTCCCTTGCTTTGGAACTCGAACCTTCATGTATGGTGTGGAAGGGGTCCATTTATAATTCTTAGTTTTGGAGGAATGATATTAGACCACTGAGACTCTAAACTCTTCTCTTAAAGATATTTCAAGTTGTCAACATTTCAAAAGGCCACAAAATTGTTAGTGGTGAAAATGGCTAATGGTTAAAATTGTGGTGCAATTTTTTAAAATATTTTTGTAATAGAGTGAAAGTGTTGGTTGAACTCCTTTGAAAGGCTATTAAACCCAATGAGTTAATGTCTATTGTAGCACTTCAGCATAGCGACTATTTGTCTCAGCCTAAAATTTTTAATATGCCTGATAAAATGCAATAATAGCCATTTAAAATGTATCTATAAGAGGATTTACTCTAACTTTTGATACTTTTTTTATCATCAGAAGTTTCAATATAAAAATTGCATAGCTACCTATTAAAGATTGCTCCTTACCTGACTATTGTTAATGTTGATATAATAACCTACTAAAATATTTATAATACTTATTTTTTTTAACCACAGGGTTATAGCTTTGATACCCTTCCCTATGTTTCTCATGTTTTCTATTTAATGGATATTGCGGGACCACTATGATTAATAGGGCTATGACATTATGATATTTGCCTCTTTTCATTGAGCTGTGTTTGCTAAATACTTGCTCAGATAAACCCTGTTCAGGGATTAGCTCTAACATGGAAACTCCTCCTTCAGATTAGTTCTAACACAGAAACTCCCCCTTCCTATATTTAGCATGCGAGTGAACTATACTCTGCATAACTGTAACATTGAACAAACATTTCTGTGGATATGAAAAGTTGATGAATCTCTGAAGCATCAAGTACAAATATATCTGGACTTCTAATTTTTCAAATAGACTGACCACAGAAATGAACCCTCAGAAAGTATTGATTAATTATAATTCATTGTAATCTGAAAGTTGGAGAAAATTGATGAACCCTAATGTGTAACCTTCAGCTTTTTCCATCCTCAGGTAATGCTAACTACTTTTCAATTATGATAGTGAGCACTGGACTTACATGTGTAAACAAATCCACAAAAATACCATGTCCCACTTTAATCAATTGGCATTGACCTTTTCCAAGAGAAACCACAGTGTAGTGGGGAAATGAGAGGCTTTAATGTCCCAGGGCAAATTACCTGTCTTCTCTCTACTTCAGTGTCCTCATCTATATCATCTAGGTAACAATACAGTCCAGTCCACTGTGATTTGGGTTTAATTTAATTAATATTCATTACCAAGAATTTGGTATGTATTAGAAACTTGAGAACTGTTTTAAGTATTTCATGGATCTTCTTAGTAACTTGTATTATCAGTAATAATTATGCTGATGCAAATAAATTCAAAATGTGTTTCTAAGCTAATAAAATAACAAAGAGGTTCAGATTTATAAGGGTCATGCAATACAAATATTCTTTTTTGCCCTATTATTGTGTATGAATTGTGTTAAATAACGAGACAAATATAGTTGTCTTCCCATGAGCTGTCAACTGCTAGGATTTCTTTCTTTTATGTCTTCAAAATGATATTGAAGATAAAGATACACTGTTGTCAATAAATCCTTTTTTTTTCAGTTGAACAGGTAGTTAAGCCTAAGGAAAACAAAACAGAAAGTGAAAATACTACAGATAAACCCAGAAGAAAGAAAAAAGGAAAAAAAAGAAGAAACAGAAAGAAGAATCCATGTAATGGACAATTTAAAAATTTTTGCATTCATGGAGAATGCAAATATAAAGAGAACATAAAAATAGTAACATGCAAGTAAGTTTTTCTAAATTATGTAGAATTCTGTATTTTTAACAACATGTCTAAAACTCCTAACTGCAGAAAACCATTTATGTTTTCAATGTGTAAACCAAGGGTCTGCAAACTTTTTCTTCAAGGACTAACCAGATAGTAAATATTTTAGACTTCCTGGATCGAGATTAGGTATGTACTTATATAAAAAATTAAAATGTAAACACTTGAAAATGTAAAAACTATTTTTGGCTTGCATGCTGTAGAAAACCTGGTGAATGGCCATATTTGATCCATGGGCTGTAGTTGGCCAACCACTGGTAAAAACCATCATTTTACAGCATACGTTTTACAACTCTTTTTTTAAAAAGGCTTTAAAAATACTTTTCACATAATGTTGTTCTATCATCCTTCCCCCCAAAAGCTGCTAGCACATGAAATGATAGTGGAATATATTAGCTGCATAACAAGTCACTAAACTCCTCAGTGGTCATAAAAGGAAGACAGAGAATGAAAAGGTCTGTCTTCCTAGAGTCACACCCAAACTAATCTCAACTTCTCCCTATGCAAATAGACCTTTAGCTTGAATGCATTCTACATCTCATGATTTTGATATACAAATGCAAGGGGGACCCAAAAAAACCCAGGATTATTTTCTGGAGGGCAGGCTCCTTGTAGTATAGGCTTCTGCCACTAGGTGAGTGTTCTAGGAACCCATCGGTATCAGTTGTACCAGCTGACATTGTTGTGAGAGGCTGTGTTTGGCTTCAGTGATTTTTTTTTTTTTGAGAGTCTTTCAGTGCTTTTGCCCATTTCATGATGGTTGATTTACAAGAGCACCTGCCCACACCGCACTGAACATTCAGCAGTTTTTGACCAAAAACAGCATGACCCCGTGCCCTACCTTCCCTATTCACCTGACCTCACATCTCACCCTGACCTACTTTTTTTGGCTTTCCTGGATGAAAAAGTCCTCAAAGGGAAATGTTTTGCCAATGTGGAAGAGGTGAAACAAAAAACAGCAGAAGCACTAAAAGGCAACAAAATTAATGAGCTTAAAAACTGTTTTGAGCAGTGGAAAAAACATCTTGATAGGTGTATTGCATCAAATGGAGAGTACTTTGGGGGTGACTAAAGTTTAAACAGGTAAGAATAAAATACAGTTTTTTTTTACAAATAAACTCCTTTTATTTTTGCGAGGGGGTCCCCTCTTGTATAAGGTATGCCTTATTTTTTTTTATTAGAATTAAATGGCTGTGGCCTGGAAAGTAAGCCTAAAATATATAGAAAGTTTTTAGTTATTATAATTTTGGAATGTGGGTTATTTACAGATGTCATCCGGATTACTTTGGTGAACGGTGTGGGGAAAAGTCCATGAAGACTCACAGCATGGTTGACGGTGGTTTATCAAAAATTACATTAGCAGCCATAGCTGCCTTTATCTTAGCCGTGTGCGTCACAATTATTGCTGTTCTTATTACAATCTAGTAAGTATGGCATAACATAAATTTCCCATAAAAAATTAATTTCAGTATTTTTTTAAATCATACTGCACTATCATTTTAAATATATTGGTAGCATGTGATCTTTGGTCATATCTTTACATTTCATTAACAAAGGTCACAGAATATGGTCCAAGTTTATATATATTTTGACCACCATTGAAACTTAATATGTAAAGGCCTTTTTCACAAAATCTAGAAATCTTTTTCACTTAAAAATTGATGGTGGTTTCATGTCATGTTTCTATACATAGCTACTTTCAAATCTCAGAGTGTTGATATCTACTATGAATATCTTAAGCTTAAGCAAGCCTCCCAGAATATAATTAAGGTCTAGATTGTCAAAGATACTGCTTTGGTACAAAAAATAACAAAGTTTCAAAACAGGAGCCAAGAGAAGATATGTTTTCTGCTTTTATTAGAATGCAAAATTCTGAATTAGGAATTTCATAGCATGGTACTAATCTTAAAGCTTATGCCTATTTTGTTATTATATTATATTTTGTCAAATGCAATATGGGAATTCAATTATTGAAAAACAACATTTCCTCCATAGGCTATTATGGTATGGTGTAGGAAGCAGGGACAATTCTGTTGTTGTTCTACTTTTACAGTATCTTCCCTGTGTTCACAATAACAGATCACATACTTCACTTTATGACCAATGAATGTTAGAACTAGACTGTTTCATCTTGTAGACACTGGTGGGTATGTCCAAATGGCATTGTCTGTCAAATAGAAGTCAGTGTATTAAGGAAGTTGGGGGAGGGCGTGAATGGCTCTGTAATGACTCATGTGCTAGTAGAGCTTGGGAAAAGCAATAAACTCATTATTCTAATTTTAGGTCTTGGTAAATTACTTTAACAACTGGATTGTGTACATGATCAACCACTCTTGCCATTCAGGAAACAAGGGGATATCTTCTGCCATTGTTTACTATTATTTTAAATGCAGATCAGATAATGATAAAATGGCACATAAAATTGTTTTATGATGCACATAAAGTTTGATCTGTGGTTTAAATTTGTTTTGCACACCCTAGAAATGATTTTGATCTGTTAGTACCTCAAGCTAGATATGCAGATGTGTTTAGAAAAGATATCTTCAGACACACCATTATTATTTGATATAGAAGGATAGAAGGAAAAAAAGTTGCCAGTTAAAGAAGATGTTTTGAAGTAATTATTTAAGCCTGTAATTATTCAAGTTTAAATATTTAATAATCCTTTGGCAAAACAGGGAAAAACTTTTATCATGCTGGTACTCTTAAAATTAAATGGGGATTTTCCTCCCATATTCTCCTTATATTTGAAATACATAACAAACACTAACCTAAGCCACCATAATTTCTGTTTTTTTGTATAATTGAAGTGAGCTTTTCCTCAAACATTGTATAAATATACTATATTTACACAATGGAATACTATAACAAAAGATCTTATGATTTTAATAATAAACATTTAGTGGATGACTAGAAGATCTACTAAAAATAGAATTGTTTCTCCAACACCAACACATTTTTAAACCATTGAATTGTTTAATAGGAAGTACCAATAAATAAAATGAAGTATTTATTATATTTAGAAACAAATAAAACCCAACTTGTTTTGTTAGCTTGTTTTAAAAAATTCTAATCATTAAGTTTAGACTCTAAACAATAAAAATTCTAAACAAAAAAGTTCTAATCAAATTCTATTTGAACAAATAGAATTAGTTTGTCAAGCATAAAGATGCCATGCACTATCTTCCTCCATTTGTGCATGGCAACTGTGCTAAATTTTGAAAAATAACACATAATGATGTGTTCTAGGCCTTCTGAATGTTTGCATCTCAAGGCACATTTATTTAAATATCAGTATCCTGGAAAAACATTTATATAAAGTCATCATAAACATCCCATTAAAAGAACATTGCTAGTACTTTATAGTTGGATTTAGATTTTGGTTTGATATAGAATATATCATATATAATAGAGTAGATTATATAATGGACTATAAGGACTCATAAAAAGAAATTCCCTGTACTCATAAAAACCCCAATTAATGTATGGATAAATAAAACTTTGATGACAGTAGAATATTTTGTTTTCTGAAGCCTTCGAAAACGAAAGTTCAAGAAATATGAAGGAGAAGCTGAAGAACAAAAGAAACTTCGACAAGAAAATGGAAATGCACATGCCATAGCATAAATGAAGGTAATATTACAGGTTTGTGTTTTAGAAGATATTTTTATATCACATCCTATACTTTTGAAAAATATAGCATTTATTAAAAATAATAAAAATAAGTGTTCTTAATTATGGGTACACTGTGAACACTGGCTACATTAAAGTGTTAGTATTTGAGCATAAGATAAAGTTCAACATTGAAAAAGGACTCTGTCCTTAGTTTTATATGGGATATAAAGATTTGGGAGACACAGATCCTCTTCTCAAGGAACTTAGTGTTTGGTAGATAGACAATAGGGTAAGGAACCAGAATAATAGGTGAAGTAAAATATATGTCATAAGAAAGAAACAGAGAGTTATCACAAAGGACAGTATTTCATCTTTTCTTATGGCTGAGTAATATTCCATTGTATATATGTCCTACATCTTTGCATCTTGAAAATATCATGTTAAGCAAACTAAGACAGAAAAAGTCAAGAACTATATGATTTCATTCATATTTGGGATATGAAACTGAAAGCAACAAATGAACAAACAAGAAAAACAAATAAACAAAAACTTACAGACACAGACAACAGTATGACGGTTACCAGAGGGAAGAGAGGTAGAGGGTTAATAAAGGGTAAAGGGGATCAATTGTATGGTGACAGAAGACTTGACTTTGGGTGGTAGGCACACAATGTATATATGGATAATGTATAATAGAGTTGTACACTTGAAGCCTATATAATTTTATTAACGAATGCCACCTCAATGAATAAAAAGCTATGGTATATTTACACAATGGAATACTACTTGGCCATAAGAACATTGCAACAGCATGGATGGACCTGGAGGACATTATGCTAAGTGAAATAAGCCAGCCAAGAGAAGACGGATATCATATGATTTCACTTATGTGTGTTATTTAAGGAACTAACTGAACAAACAAGCAAAATAGAGACAGATTCATAGAGAGAGAGCAGTATGAGAGCTCTAGGGGGTGAGGGGTGGGGGTGGATGTGGAGGGATCAAGCAAAAAAGAAAATGATGGACATGGACAACAGTGTTCTGACTGGGGGAGAAGGGGTAGGTAGGTGGAGATGGAAGAGAGTATAAGGGGGATAAATGGAAATAGAAAAAAATACAATAAAAATAAATATCACATTTTTTTTAAAGAAAGAAAAGAAACCAATGGTATATAAGGATTTTTCAATGAAGGGTAAAAGAAGTCCAGTAGGATGCATTTAGAGAACAGGAAAGGATAGAAATATACGGTGGCACTGGAAGTAAGCTTTAAAGGACTAATGAGATTGGGACAGGCAATTATGAAATGAGAGGAAGATTAATACTGTGAGAGGCACTAGATCATTTTAGAAACTTGTGACAAGTAGCCAAGCTTGAACAGGTTTTAGGGGAGATTAGGTTGAAATTATAGGTTCAGCTCATGTGATGAAGAACCAAAGTCAGAGTGTTTGCATTACAAATGTGAGGTGGAGAGAGCAGGTTGAATATCCTTTCAAAGAAAGGGAGTAGGAAGGGAGAAGGAGGTGCAAATTTGAGAGAGCTTGGTTAGTGTATATACTGTAGTTTTTATTTTTAATTTTTTGTAAAGAGGGAGAGTTGAACATATTGGGAGAGAGAAGGTAAGAAGGTGTGAACAATGATATTTGATTGATAACAAAGTGAACAGCTAATGAAGCCACCTTCTAGAGAAAGAGAGAGACAAGGGGCTCAAGGACACACCTGAAGTCAGTCAGAAGAAGGAACTCTATTTTCTCACTCAGGAAAAGGTGTCATATCCTTCAGTCACCGATTTTCTTCTTTCAGTGGGTTTAAAAATTTCTTGAGATGTTTATTCAATATGCATATTCCGAGGCCAAATCCTAAAATTGGCTAAATCAGTATTTCCATTTTTAATTAACATTTTAAACGCTTGGGAAACAACTATATTTAGCATTGGTTAAGTGCAGGTATCAGGTTGTGAGCTTATTACAGAACTAGCTCAATAATTCATGAAATAGGTAATTATCCTTGGCCATGCTGAACTTGGTACTTACTGCATGAAAACTTAATAATAAATGAGTTTAACGTGCTGAAGCTAAAACCACCAAAAGAATAAGGGTAGAGGTTTGGTTATTTAGTGCAACTGAGATTTTTTTTTAATTTTAAAATTTTTATTAAATTTATTGGGGTAACATTGGTTAACACAATTATATAGATTTTGGGTATACAAATCTATAATACATAATATGAATATTGTGTTGTCTATTTGCAACCCCAAGTCACATCTCCTTCCATCACCATTTATCCCCTCCTTTCCCCTCTGCTACCTCTTCCCAAGTAGGTCACAGGTGATTTTAGGGGAAGGAATATGCTGTGCTGGCACATAGTGGCTGCCTATTAACTGGTAGCTACTATCATTATGCCCTTGGTACTAATTATCTTAAATTAACTGAATAACATAAATGCACTGAACCACTTAATCTTTGTTTTTAATTATGTCCACTGCATAGATTTGGTTAGGGAAACCACTTATTGTTACTCTTGTTACTTTTTTTTCTTTTTTTGATGAAACAAGTTTAAGCATATGCAGCCTTCTACCTAAGTAGGGAGATGTGCTACCAAAGAAGGTGTGAAAGAGGTTCAAGTCAAAGTGATAGTTTGTCCCTGAAAATCGTGTAGTATTTTTCATAAGACATCTTAGAAAAAAGTTTGACAGAAATTCTGATTTTTTTGACATTTTGGTAAAGCTATATAGGAATTGAGCTTCTTTTTAACACTTTATTTTATTTTTCAACAGGTATCAGGTCAGAGTCACTGTCAAGTCACAACCATGAGTGATGAGTTGATTCCGCTCTTCAGTGGATCATATGGAAACAGAACTTTCTTGTTCTAATGGTTTTAAACTTTCAATTGTCACTTTTTATGCTAAGTCTTATTTCTGTACATAAAGATGCATGGAGAGAAAAAAGTATTTTTTCAAGTTGTAAATAATTTATTTATTATTTAATGGAAGTGTATTTATTTTACAGCTCATTAAACTTTTTTAATCAAACATACTGAGAGTTTGAATATTAGTTTTGAAAATGTAAGACTCTAGGTATTTTTCTCTGAACACTTAGGTGACCATTTTAAAAGGAGTTCCTTTCTGCTCTTTTTTAACTGTTTTATGTGAATTTTCAAACTTATCTCTTTTCCTAGAAAGCTTCCTTAATGGGAAAATTATAAACCAGATTCACTTAGTTCTCCCACAAATCCTAATATCTCATGTCGGTATTTTTTAATTCCATGTAGAATTTATTCCAAGTCATGGTAATTATAAAAAACACTAAAATCAACATACAGTGCTGCCTCTCTGTTACAATAGACCCATGTATTATAAAATAAAGAAAATCCACTGCTCATCACCATTATCACCATAAAAAAAGGAGACAAGAATAGTTTTGAATATTACAAATGTGGCAATTCAAGAGAACCAGGAAGTATTTAGATTTGAGACTTCTTCTCCTAATATCATGACGTAAATATATAAAGCATCTAAAACTCCCATCTCCCTTTCCTTATCTTACTATTATTTTCTTAAATTTTAATAAATATATGTGTATTTGTGGTGGGTGGTCTTTCACGAACATTAATGTTATCTAATGACTTACAGTCTGGTCCCTAGCTGGGCAACTGCATGCAAAACAATCTTTAAAAACTGCAGAGTATCTTGAGGAAATTAATCAATGATAAACATAATTCCAGCAGTTATCTCATAGAATTTCATGAATGAAAGGTTCCTGTCACATCAACACTTTCCTCTGTCTCTAGCATACTATTCACCAAATTCTTGCCAACTGATCGTCTAACAGATTGCTCCCCCAAATCACCTGTGCATTGTCACTTGCGTTTGAAATGTCTACATGCCCAGGCCCCCTCCCCCTTCTAGAGCTTCTGATTTAAATGGACTCGGCTTTTTGTTTTTTGCTTAACCCTTCACCTTTTTAAACCAGCCCCCCAACACCCCACACACCTTACAGTAGTCAGTCTGTTTTCTGTATCTGAGTTTGTTTCTATTTTGGTCATTTATTTTGTCCACTAGATTCCACAAATAAGTGACATTGTATACTATTTGTCTTTCTATGACTGGCTTAATTCACTTAGCATAAAACTCTCCAGGTCTATCCATGCCGTTCCAAAAGGTAAGATTTCCTTCTTTTTTTACAACCATGTAGTGTTTCATTGTGTAAATGTACCACAGCTTTTTTATCCAATCGCTTACTGATGAGCACTTGGGCTACTTCCAAATTTTGGCTATTGTAAATAATGCTGCAATGAACATAGGGGTGTATATATTCTTTCAAATCAGTGTTTCAGGTGTCTTTGGATATATATCCAGAAGTGGAATTGCTACCTCATAAGGCAGTGCTATTTTTAATTTTTTAAAGAAACTCCATACTGTTTTCCGTTGTGACTGCACCAATCTGCAATCCCACCAAAGTGCCCAAGGATTCCCTTTTCTTTTTTAAAAAATATTTTATTTATTTTTAGAGAAAGGGGAAGGGAGGGAGAAAGAAAGGGAGAGAAACATAGGTTGGTTGCCTCTTGCACACGTCCTAACCGAGTACTGGGCTTTCAACCCAGGCATGTGTCCTGACTAGGAGTCAAACTAGTGACCTTTCATTTTATGGGACGATGCCCAACCACCTAAGCCACACAAATCAGGGTGATGGGTTCCCTTTTCTCCACATCTTTGCCAAAGAATGTGTTTTCTAATTTAGTGATAATAGCTATCCTGACAGGTGTGAGGTGATGTCTCATTGTGGTTTTAATTTGTATTTCTCTGATTAGTGACAATGAACATCTTTTCATGTGTCCTTGACCATCTGTATGTCCTCTTTGGAGAAGTGTCTATTCAGGCCCTTTGCCCATTTTTTAATTGTTTTTTGTTTTGTTTTTTTGCTGTTGAGTTTTATAAGTTCTTTATAAATTTTGGATATTAACCCCTTATCAGATGTATCATTGGTGAATATGTTCTCCTATGCAGTGGGTTGTCTTTTCATTGTTTTGATAGTGTCCTTTGCTGTACAGAAACATGTTAGTTTAACGTAGTCCCATTTGTTTAGTTTTTCTTTTGTGTCCCTTTCCTGAAAAGACATATTAGAAAAAAAAAATATTGTTGTGTGAAATGTCTGAGATTTCACTGCGTATGTTTTCTTTTAGCATATTTATGATTTCAGGTCTTACATTTAAGTCTTTAATTCATTTTGAGTTTATTGTTGTGTATGATGTAAGAAAGGTGGACTAATTTCATTTGGGGGGCACCAGTTATTGAATAGGCTATCTTTTTACCCTATTGTATATTCTTGCCTCCTTTGTTGAATATTAATAAAAGTGTGGGTTTATTTCTGGGCTCTATTCTGTTCCATAAATCTCTATGTCTATTTTTATGCCAATACCATGCTGTTTTGATAACTATGGCCTTATAGTATATAGTTTGGTATGAAGAAGCGATATTCCTCCAACTTTGTTCTTTATCAAGATTACTGCAGCTATTCAGGGTCTTTGGTTGTTTCAAATATTTTTGGAATATTTTTTCTAGTTCTATGAAATACGCCATTGGTTTCTTGATTGGAATTGCATTGTATCTGTAGATTGCTTTGGGTAGTATGGGTATTTTAATGATGTTAATTCTTCCCATCCATGAACATGGTATATTCTCCCACTTATTTGTATCTTTTTCTATTTCTTTCTTCAGTGTCTTATAATCTCCCAAGTACAGGTCTTTTACATCCTTGGTTAAATTTATTCCAAGGTTCTTTTTTTTAATGCAGTTGTACACAGGATTGTTTTCTTAGTTTCCCTTTCTGATAGTTCATTATTGGTGTATAAAGGTGCAACTGATTTCTGGATATTTATTTTTTATTCTGTTGCTTTACTGAATTTATGTATCAGTTCTAATAATTTTTTGGTGGAATCTTTAGGGTTCTTCATTTACAGTATCATGTCATCTGTAACTAATGACAGTTATTTTTTCCTTTCCAATTTGAATGCCTTTTATTTTTTCTTGTCTAATTTGTATGGCTGGAACTTCTAGTATTGTGTTTAGTAAGAGTAGTAAAAGTGGACATTTGTGTCTTATTACTGATATGGAAATGCTTTTAGTTTTTTCCCATTGCATATGAGACACAGACAACAGCATAGTGATTAGCAGAGGGAAAGGGAGGTAGGAGAGGTAAAAGAGGGTAAAGGGGTAATAAATGGTGATGGAAGGAGACTTGATTTTGAGTGGTGAACACACAATACAATATACCGATGATGTAATATAACATTGTACACCTGAAACTTAACATAATTTTATCAACCAATGTCACCCTAATAAATTCAATAAAAATTAAAGAAAGAAATAAACCATTGAATTCCAAAACACAAAGATAAATACCATAAATGAACAAACAAAATCAAAAAATGACTTACAGAAACAGAGAACAAACTGATGGTTGCCAGAGGGGAGATTTGGGATAGATGAAAAAGGTGAAAGGAAATAGTCAGTAAACTGTGATAGCTTTGCATGGTGAGAGATGGTTAACAGACTTGCATGGTGATCACAGTTTAAGGTTTATAAATGCCAAATCACAAATGTTGTACACCTAAAACTGATCTAATAGTGTATGCCAACTCTACTTTAATAAAATTTTTTACATAAATAGACAGACTGGGGTGGCTTGTTGCCATCTGTATTTTTATAAGACCCCTAGATGTTTCTTCTGTACAACCTGTGCTGGGAACCTCAGATTCACCTCAGCCTAGATATTTACAGTATACATTTTCTTCAGCCTTACTTGTTAAATATATATTGTGGATGATTCAAGTATAATGCTAGCATACTAGACAATTCCTGACTTTGATATGTTTTCCACCTAGTTGGTGGGAGAGAGTGCAGAAAATAACTGGATGAGGTGTTTACCAAGATCCCTGGGCATTTAAGCTTCCTACAGAGATGCTATTCAAGATTAACCTTGAGGGATGAGTAGGAGTTATGTAGTCATAGACACAAGCAAAATTATAATATCATTGAACAGTATGACCTGAAAGTAAAAATATGTAATTATTTTAGTATTATTGAAACAAAGTGTGAAGTCAACAGGCTGTAAACGAAGCTGGAGTGGTAAAGGGAGGGTCACATAGGGCCTTTAACTTACTCTCTAGGCCTTGATTAACCATTCAAGCCAGTTGATCAGGGGTAGAAACTTGCTCAGATTTGAATTCCCAGTAGGTCACACGCAACCATTTGTGGGAGGGACTTGAGCCAAAGCCAAAGGGTGGAAGATTGGCTTGCAAATAGTTGAAATATGCCAAGCAAGAAATGAAGAACACCTGAATCTGGGAAGTAAAAGCAATTAAAGAGAAACTCATCTGTACTTGAAGACTTTTTAAATAATTTAAAAACACAAAAGCAAGGGGATTAATTATAAAAACAAGGCTGAGCATAATGAGAGGGTGAGGGAAGAGAGGAAATATAAGATGACCCACAGGTTCCTGGCTTTGGTGATTAGGCAGATGGTGACATAATTTTAAGTAAGGAATCTTTGAATTAGTTTATTGAATATTCTAGATGGGAAGCATGGTTTTTTATTTACCCTTAACTGAAGAATGCTCTTCTCTATTTTGCAAAGTCACCCTTTCCAATCTGTAACGGGCTTATGAGGCAATAAGTACCAGCCCAGTTAATTAGTTTACTGAATCAACACTGGCCCTTACCTCACATCTGAGATTGAACAAATGAGAAAAAAAAGTCCAGGTCTGAAAGTGTGATAATCAGTTCAGCTTTGGATCTGTTGAGTTTGACAGGCCAGGAGATATCTATTATGCACTTAGATATATAGTCTGAAGTTCAGGGAGGGGAAGAATTATAAATTAGACATTTCCAAAACAGG